ATAGACTTCAATAGTATAAATTGGAGTGTTAGTATATTTTTGAACTAATTAATAAATTTTACAGATCGACATGAAAATGCTTATGCATACGGTAGCGGAAATCGTACTTCCGGTACTGCAATAACATTAACTACCGGAAGCAGCTCATATCATAGCGAACGAAGTGATGGTGATATGATCTCCGCTCATACAGCAAAGGACAGTGAGGGGGGAGGAGGAAATGATTCCGGTAAGAGTATGAAACAGATGGATGGTGAAGGTGGTACATTAACGTTGAGTGAAGTTGACCAGGGTGCGACATTTGAGCAACAGCAGCAGGTCCATGATGCTCCCCAACAACAAACTGATAAACAAGTATAGTAATAATAAGATGACAAATATTGATTATCATTATTCTTTTATTTCAGTTTAATTTTTTTTTTTTTAAAATTGTGGTAATGGAAATCTATTTTTCCACCTTCATACCAATTACCTTCTTTTCTTTTTTTCTTTTTCTTTTTTTTATTAATTTGAATTCAGTTTGACAAAAATTAATGCAAAAAATGCTAATTAAGATAATAGAAAACGATTGCATACATAATTTTTGCTATATTTACTTTTTTGCGCTTCTTTTTTCCTTGTCCTGCTGCTAAAATGCGCATTTGTCATTATCACTCGGCTATTTATTTAATCTGCCGTTTGTTATCGTTATCAGCATTATATTTATGATAATAAGCCATAAATTCTTTCAATGGCTTTTTCTGGATGGTTAATTTGTTAATTAATTATTATTACCAGTAATTATTAAATTTCATTAGTTATGATTAATTACTATTTATTATAATTATCACTGTTTATTATCATTATTATTATTACTACTAGTATTACTGTCAATTATTATTATTTTCTATTATTCCATTAAAAATACTTAAGTGTTTTGTTGGTAAACATACGTGAAATGTATTTCAGATGCTTATTACATTTGAATTTTACTTCCAAAATCTTATTTTAAGTAAACGGAAAATAATTCATTTTAAAATTTAAAAATTCTCTATAAAAATTTATGAGGTTACATGCTTTTTTTTGCTTTTAAGATAAAAATAAAGAAATAGAAGTGTAATCAATTTTCAATTCAAAACTTCTTATGTTCAATTAAAATTAAGAAAAGAAAAAAGCAATATGTTTATTTGTTTTGTCAAAAAAGGCATAAAATTTTAATAATACAATATTATTTATAATAATATTAAACATTCACAAAAATATTTTATTAGTATTAATTTTTATAAAAATTTTAATTTTTTTTGACTAATAGAGGTAATAAATTTATATGCCATTTACTAATTATCACTTATAATGCATTTATAAAGCTAACAAACAATTTGGGTAATTTATCAGAGCAATAAATGTAAATATTTTGTGCGTCATTTTTATAAAATGTTACTTTCAGTCCTAATTAATGTTTTTCGGGAATTTGCATTTTAATTTAATTATTTTAACTTTTTTTTTCGCTTATTTGTTTCACTTAAATTATAATTCTTTCTACTTTTTCTTTTTTTTTCATTTCTTCCTAATCTTTAATAATATTAATATTAGCAATTAGGTAAGAAATTTTGAATTGAGAAATTTTTTGCATTCTACTTTAACAAAAATAAAAAAACTTTCAGTAATATTTATATAGCAATATTAGAAAAATTTTGGTTGTAATTTTACTTTTAAGTTTTATTTTATAGTCAAAAAATCTTTTTATCCTATATATTTGTATATATCAACCATTCTTTTTTTATCAATAGAATTTTTTGAAAAAAAAGCTCTTTTTCAATTACAAAAAATCTTGCAAAGATTATTTAGGAATTAATTAGCATATTTATTATCATATTTAAAAATATCTAATAAACATATTATCATTGATAAATATTAAAACAAAAACAATAATATCTGCTAAGCATTCGCTAATATTATTTTAATATTTATTGTTTACTATTGGTTATTTTACTCAGCCATTAAGCAGTAAACAGCAGTAACAATAATTTAAATAAATTATATTATAATAAAATAAATCATTATTATTGCATAATTATTAATCATAATGATTTAATTTGCTTATTTATTCGTCATTAAATAATTATAATTAATTTCGAGAATTTTCTTATTGCAGTTTTTTTTACTCCAGTTATATTATTTATTTTGATACATTTTTTTTTTAATGAAATTTTCAAATGTAATCTATTTGATGTTTCTAATTTCATTTTATCCTTCTTTATCTTTGCAACAAATTATTTTATGCATCTATTTTGAAAAACAAAAAAATATAAAAAAATATTTTTTTCTAAAATTTGTCTTAAATTTAAAAATTCTTTTGTTTCCTTTTTACTTTCTTTTTGAATGTTTTTTTTTCAAAAATAGATTTTCCGGTTTGATACATTTTTTTTCAAATCAATGAAATTATTATTAAATGAAATGATTAATATTTTCTTTCTCATTCTCAGTTTTGAAATTTTCACAAATTTTTTATTTCAAAATCAGAAAAAAGTAAACTATATAAAAAAATTAGCAGCAAAGGTTTAAAAATTTTTCATTGCTTTATATAAATGTTTTATATATGAGTTTAATGCATCTTTGTATAAATTCTAGATAATGATTTAGTATTTCGTTTTTGAAATTCTCTTTATTTCTTTAAATTGTCATAACACTAATTGATTGATTAACATCCCACATCTTTATTTCTTGCATGAAAGACTATAAATTTTTCAGTAACAATAATAACAATCATTATAATAGTAATAAATAATAGTATTAATAGTAATAATAACAATAACAGTAATAATAATAGTAATAAATAATGGATAATAGTAGTAATATAGTAATAATAATAGTGATAGTAATAATGATAGTAATAATAATATAACAATGATAATAATAATAGCAGCAACGATGCAAGCCGTAATAGTAATAATGATAATAGCAGTTATTAGCATGCATTTGTGTTTTGCACTGGTGGAAGTAATTTTTGCAACCACTGATTTCCCTTTAATACGATAACTGTAATATAACTGTAATTTGTTTATTCGTTTAATTGTATTTGTTCTAAATAAGGAATCTAATTCGGAGCGATGATTGTACGATTTATTTGATGTAATTAAAAATTTTTAAATATAATTGAGAAGATTTATCAATATTTTCGTTTTCTTAACAGAAAGTTAATTGTTTTGAGGAGAATTGAGAAGGAATATTTGATTCAAAATATTAAAACAATGAGAAAAATTTCAGGAAATATTTTAATAAAAATTGCAAATTAATTAATCGATGCATTTGCTAACGATTTAAAATTTATTTAAGAATGGTTTATCGTTACTGTTATCACTATTATCGTTCTTATTATAAATATTACTATTTATTGCTATTTTTATAAGTTATTATCCATTATTATCGATATTATCATTGTTATTAATATCATTAATAATGATTATTAAATTCCAGTAATAGCAGCAATGGTAGTCAGTAATTGTAAAATAATATTTAAAAAAAAAACGTTCTTGACTTTTATTAGTTGATTTAGTTTTGCCTTTCTTTCATGTGTCCATAATTAAAATTTTTAAATTTCCAGCTTAATCCAGTAACATAATAAATTAAAAGCTTGAAAATTTTTTTTGAAATAAATCGTACTATCATCAATCTGTCATTTATGCTTATGTGTTGTTTGGATTAATTTTACAAGAATTTTTCATAGAATTTTAAAAATTTGAAAACATTTTCAGAGAAGAAGAAAAAGACAGTAATCGTTGTGCATATGGTTGGTCAAACGAATGCTAACGGCGAGCAATCGAATTGATAAAAAAAGATCGAAAAATGAAAAAACAAATTTAAGCAAAAAAAAATTTTTTTTCTCATCACTATATTTTCCTTTTTTCTTTACTACAAAAAAAAGAAGATTGTTTTATGAAAAAATTTATAATAATCGAAAAGAAAAAAAGTGAGAAATTATAATTCAAACCCGAATTTGAATTTTCAGTTGCACTTTTTTTCTGCAATTTCAAATTATATGTCTCTCTTTTAAATGTTTCTTTTTAGCATTCTTTCTTTCTTTTCAATTTTTTTTCTTTTCTTATTCTTCCTTTTTTTTTTCATTTTTATTTTTCGTTAATTTTTAGAGTATTATCCTCATTATTTAGCAATTTTTTTTCTGCTGCCCTAATTATACTTTTAGTAGTTTTTCATTAAATCTAAAATTCCGAATTAATTGACCAAGCATTTTCCTTCCTTTCCTTTTTTTTGGTTACTATCGGTTAGTATTATATGTTATTAGTTGCTAATAAAATTTTATTTCTTTTTTTACTCATTGTTAAATTTAACGACAAAACACTGAACAATAGGTTTTCGTTTAATCGAACAATCTATCATATTAATCTCTAAATTTGCAATTGCTAAAAAAAGAGTTCATTGCTTCAAAACAGTTTCAAAAATTTCATATTTAAATATTGAATGCTTTAGTTAAAAATAGTGATATAAATTCTCTAGCTATTAATAAAAAAAATTGCTTAGAAAAGGAAATACTATACTTTTTCTAAAAGAGTACTATAACCCTTGCTAGTATTATTCTGTAATGGGATCTAATTTCAAGTTATGAATATGAAGATATTTAACATTTAAATTTGCAATTCCTAGAAGAAAAATTTACTACTTCAAAAAAATTACTTCGAAAGAATTTTGAAAACTTCATATTTTAAATATTATAGGTAAAAAAATGTTTCAATTGAAAAGAATAAAGTACAAATTTTTCTTGAGTTTATCTTCTCTAAATCCAAATTAATCTGATCATTTAACTGATTTTTTTTTTTTTTTTTTTTGGAGGAGGAGATGGATCAAAAATTAATGTAAAGTGCATTTAAAAAATTAAAAAAATAATTCAGCGTTTATAAATGTAAGAAAGTAGGATTAAACAAGTAATTGATAAAGTGATGTGTATTATCAATTCAAACAATTGATTATAATAACAAAGATAGATGGAAATTGTAAAATTAAATTTAAAGACTTCGATCCCTGCTATGGTCCGTATAATATACGGTATGTTCACGTGGTGGATGATAATGAATATCATAACCAGCATTAGTGGTAGCGTCAACGTTTGTTGGTATGCGCTGTTGACGGCTTCTTGAAAAAGCCGCAATAGCAGCGGCAACGGCACAGAGAATCAATGAAAGACTGATTACCATTAATAAAATTCTAAAAAATTAGCAATTAGTCCATCCTTTTTTCCAAAATTACTTAAATATCGAAATAGTATTCCATAAATCATAATGTAATTAATAACTTTTAATCGATTAGTCGATTAATCAATCAATTTATTAAACTTAAATGAATGAATCGATGTGATCATATTTCCAAATGCTTCATATTTTTACACTATTTTCTCCAAAAATATATATTTAATTGATTAAAATCACTTCATTTTTATGTTTCTTAAATTTACAAGAAATTCTAATCAATTTTTTTGTAACCAAATTCCATTTCATTATTTTATTTCTGTTCCAAATAAAATTAATTTTCCGTTAGCTGTATTAATGATAAAATTCAACATTACTACATGCAAGCAAAACATTCAGACTGTTAAGAATAAATGCTAGTCATATACTATTATTATTCATTCAGTGCAAAATGATACATGTCATGCATGCAGCATGCATGGCATAATGCAACAAATTATGCAAGCAATCTGTACAACTTATGCATTACTGTAGTATTCCACGCTGCTTTTGGAATTAATTATTTTTCAAAAATTGCATTTATAAGTAATCATTAAAACTATCTTTTGGAAAAATCAATGAATTTTGATTAGAAAGGAAAAAGAAAAAAAAAACTTACATAAGCCACGTTCTTAGATAAAAGCAACAAGCGCCTAATAACCCGTAGCAACAATAATAATAATGAAAAATTGATTCATCAGGACATCTGAAATATAAATAAAACGAAGTTTAAGAGTCTTATTAATCATTTTAATTTAAAAAGAGATATACATAAAGTGAAAAATCGTTAAAAAAATTTTGAAAGTTAACATTATAAATGAAATTTCCTGAAAAAAGTCAAAAACTGTTGAAATTAGGTGATAACAAAGTTTTAAGCATATAATATTAATATAAATGATAAAGTAATAATGAGCAAATCATCTAATATTGGAACTTTCAAAAATTGAATTTTGGGATAAAGAAAGAAATTCATAAGAAATTGAATTATGAAATGATATAATCTTGAACAGAAATTTTCGGATGAAGGAAAAAGCTTTTATGTTTTTATGAAAGTTATCAGTTGATTGTCAACAAACTGATAATTTCATTCATATATTACATTGTGTGAAATTGACAATTTCATAAAATTTCGGGTTTCTGCTAATAGCAATTTAATTAATTAAATTATACTGCAAAGTTAAAAATAATCACGATTTATAACTGATAGCAAGAAATTGACAACGATGATACAAGTTGCACTAATACTGATCAGAACTATAATCATTATTACAGCTATGATAGTGATTTAAATCATGATATACAATGACTTACATTGTTAAGCCACAAATAATTCCACCACTTGGATATGGGAAGTAATTTGGTGCACACATGAGGCTGAAATAAAACTTATTTTTGTTACAAGTAAAAAGTTTAAAGAAGAGAAATGGAAAATAACAATAACAATAGTTAATCCAGTCATTTTCTAATTAATCGATATTATCAATGAAAGATAATATTATAACTTATTAGCTATGTTGCTAATTAATCGGAATCATTCAAAAATTTAAGAGAAAAGATTTAGAAATTTAGTGAAATATTTTTTGTCCTTTTCTTAAGCAAAAATACCGACAAAATAGTCTTTTAAAAAACTGAAAGTAAAAATTCATGTAAAAATAAAAATCAAATGGATAGTATCAGTAATATAAAATGATGATTAATGAAATATACAACAACTTCCATTGATTGCATAGTTCGAGAAAATTTTGCACCATTTTTATGATTTGTAAACAAATTTGCTTATCGCTTAAATTTCCATCTTAAAATCATTCGTGCCTTTTCTTTCATTTTTCTTTTCCTAAGTTATAAAATTTTTATGTTTATCAATCATTTTCTGTAAATTATTCATTCACAGAAAAGAAAATCAATCGATATTTCATCCATTTATTGGATGATCAGTTGATAGTTTACAATCAGAATTTAAATCCTTTATTGTATAAGAATCAATATCTGAAACTTTTCTTAGTATGTTATCGAGCTATCAGTCAACACTTACTACTTTTAAAATATAACTCTTTCAAATGATTGCTGTGAAATTATCTGACGTATGTGAATTTTAAAAGGTGTCAAATTAATATTTAATATATATTTAACATAAATTAACATTTAATTCTCAGCATTATAGAATTGTAATTTGCTAAAAATAATTAAGTAAAAAAGTTAATATTTTCTTTTAATTTGTTTCATTCTATATTCCTCTTCAAATTATGTATTTCTTATTATGATTGTTTTCATTTTATTTTATTTTTTTGTTCGTTTATTTTTTTATGAAATTTTGGATCTTTTTAAGTGATTCAGAAAAAACTACTATTTTGTAAATTTATTTTAATTTATAACTATCGCTTCATTGCAAACTTTATTTTTTTTTAATTTTAAGAAATGCTAATTTACATAATTTGTTATAAAAGAAAAGAAAAAAACGATGGGAAAATTTCACTGATTCTGTAGCAACAAAGAAAAACAGAAAACAAAAAATGCACATGTTTTTTTGTAGAAATGTATTAAAAGAGAGGAGTATTAAAGAAAGAAAAGATTAAAAAAGAAGCCAATAAAATGATCTAAAAAAAAAAGTTCATCTAAATTTCGAAATTTACATAAAAAATTATTTTTTCTTTTGCTTTTAAATGAAACTGTAATAACAATGAATGAAATTAAATTGTAATGATAATTCATATGAAAATTTAAGTGTTTTTATTAGAAAGAAAATACGAATTTCTCTCTCTCCGAAGCACAGAAAGAGAGAAATTTCTTTTTGGGATAATTATAAAGAATAAAGATTTGTTCAATTAAATTTCTCTTCGTTTTTTGCTTGCTAAACTAATAATTCAAAAATAAATGACAAAAGACTGAAATTTGAAATACATTTAGGATCAGGAAATTAATTATTTTAAAAGTTTTATTTTTTAATGACAACTTGCCTGAACATAGATCGATTTATCGAAGAAATTCACAAAAATGATTTCTAATTTTGATTTTAATGAAAATTTATAGCTTTTCTTACTTATCGTGTCATCTATTTGCTTGTAATAATTCTCAAATGACAACGATAAGCAATGCTTTTCTAAAAAAAAAAAAGAAAAGAAAAAATTTATTTAATTTACTTAGAAGCATGAATTGTTTTACAAAATGATTTAATATTCAATGTAAATCACTCATAGCTGTTTCTGTTTTTTCGGTGTAGTGATAACGCTTCCGGCTTGAATAGTCAGGATTTTCCTCATTTAAAGCTGTAATAGTAGTTTCAACTTCCGGATTACTGGAAATATTTTCCGTAGCAATTATTTGTGCAAAAGATGGCTTATTAATACTTCCAATGCTTGAAAATGCAGTTTTGAACATATGTGGAAGTGTAAATTGACTGATACCTGAAAATAAAAATTACATATTGATATATAATTGCATTGATTAATTTTATCACTATCATTGCCTATTGCACTGCACTTTTTATTGTTATCAAATAAATGAATGAAATAATAAAATGACATAATATTGTAAATGATAAGATCATAAATATGTTCAAGAGCAATAGCATCAAAAAATGTTTAGGATAATAACTAATCAAAATATGCTGAAAGAATTTTAGATCGCAATGATAACATTTGGGATAGCATTTAGATGTAAGCAGCGCAAATTGATTTAAGTTTATCTTTTTTTGCAGTGATTAATAATTTTGATATTGTCCAGTCAGTAAAATGTACAGCCAGCAGTATCATATTCTTCAAGTTAATGACATTTCTCATTAACAGCATTAATTTCAACGTTAACTTATGACAGTTCATGGACAATTCGACTAGAAAACAATCCTCAAAATATCCATTATTCGCTTTATTAAGCTTTTATAGTTTTGATATTTCAACATGGGCGGGAAATAAAGAGTCTTTGTTTTGTTTTTTTTTTTTTATCTAATTGCATCAATAGCCAACTGATTGAAAGAAAGAAATGAGCTTTAAGCTAGGTTATCTTTTCTAAGGTCTTTTTCCTTTTGAAGCAATCAGCCTAAATGAGATTGCTTAATTATTCAGAATGTTTTTCTCATTTCCTGAATCAATCTTGACTTAGAGAATTAATATCCTGAATCTGTGACTTTCAAGTAGTCTCTTCATTAGCCATTTGATTATTCAGGATGTTACTATCATCTCCTAAGTCAATCTCGACTTAGAGAATTAATATTTTGAATCTTGGCTTCCGTCCATTTCTTCATTGGTCGTTTCATCTTTCGCCTATCCTTTACACAGCTTCTTAATAAGTTTAAGCATAATCTCTCTATCTTCCACAATGGTTTTTTTTTTTTTTTCACGAATATTGTATTTTCTGCTATTGCAATTAAATAACAAAAAAGCATTCAATTAGACACTTATAAAATTTTGATAATAATTTATATTTTTAGAAAAGAAATATATATGGCAAAGGATTGAAAAGGAAAACTAATTAAAAAAGGACAAACATACCAGGTGAAACAGATGGACATACTCGTCCAATATAATAATATAAAGTAGCTAATGCTAATAAATGTAGCAGTGCATACCAAAAATTTATAAATAATATTATAAGAATGTTTGTAATAGCCTGAAATAAGCATTAATTATGGAATGAATAGCAACAAAAACAATAGCAAATAAAAAACAATGACAACACTAACAAACAACAACAAATAAACAAAAACAGCCTTTCACGAAAATAAACAACAGTAAGGAACAAACAGCGAATAATAAAAAAAGACAAAAAGCAACAAAGAAACAACAACAACAGTAGCAGCACACAATAACAACAACAACAATAGCAGAACACAGTAACAGCAATAGCAATAAAAGAATGAATTGCTTAATCAATATTGAAAATGGTATTGAAAAAAAAAAAAAAATTACATACTCCAATAAATGATATGTAACGATTGCTGAAAACTGAATACCATGTATGTGCTTGATCATCAACTCTGAAACTGGAACTTCCTTCCTCATCTAAAACATTTCACTTAAAATAATAAGCATATTATTATCAACATATTATCATTACTCATAACTGTTGCTAATTGTTACCTAAATTAATCTGAGCTAAATATTTTTCATCAGTATATTTGAATTAATAAAAGAATTATACCAAATATTTTAGGTTAATATTTTTCACAAAGTTATTATGATTAATTTATGCAATAATATATACATACTATCAGTACTTGGTAAATCACTTGAAGTGTTTTCCGGGAATAATTTTTTCAAATCACCAGAATCATCTCCATCATCTACTGTTGCATCTTTTAAATGTCCCATACTGCCATATTTTGTAGTAGCACTAATAAAAATGAAATGGATGCAAAATTATAAAATTCGCATCATTTTTCATATATTTAAATAGATAGATTGTATTCATACTTCGAAATAATAAGAAAATAGAAAATTTAATAAAATGAAGTAAAAAATAAAAATTTTGGTGAAATCATTACTTCAATTTGTTTACATTTTGAAGATCATAACTCATCGCCAATGAAACATAGGAATAATTAACAAAAGCATAAGTTATTAAAAATGGCATCGTTGAAAGAATTGCTAATTGATTTAAATCATCAAATAATACAAAAATAATTGCTATAAGCATCATTGCAAGACTTGCACGTAATGGGCTTTTATTAGCGCCTTGCTGAAAATAGCAATTTCAATTGAAAGAAAAAAAGAAATAAATAATTTGAATTAATAGCATGCAGTGTAATCATTATTATTAGAAAGAATGAAAAAAAGGTGAGATAATCGCTATAATTAAAAAGATTTAAAATTATAAACTAAAGAAGGGAGAGAGAGAGAGAAATTTATCATATAATTATGACTGTGGAAAAACTAAAGCTATCTTACAATTAATAACATTAAAGATTGTTGTGTTTAATTTAAAAAGAAATATAATTTAATAGCTAAATATAATTTACAATAATAATTTTAACTTATGACATACACCAATTGCTAACGGATTCAGAAGTGGTATAATACCCTCAGAAGCGATACTCTGAATAACACGTGGAGTTCCAAGTAATGTGCCAACTGTCGAACTCAGTGATGAAACATAAAGTCCGGAAAGATATAAAAATCCGGTAAATGATAATTTTTCAGCAATTAATGTATCGCAGATCAGATATGCACGATTAACCAATGATCCAAGAAGTAATATAAATGACAAAATAATCATCGAACTGAATCAACTAATTAATTAAGTAATTAATAACAACAATAATAATGATAGAAAAATAGTTGGAAAATATGTTTAATAGCAATTTTTTGTTTAAATTTAATAATTTTCGTAGAAAATTATATCAATTATGACTTGATTTCTCAAATATTTGACTATTATTGTTACATATTATTTAATTTCTTATAGATTAATTACTTAATTACTCCAAGTGTAATCTTTATTTACCAGGAAAAGCACTTTATTTTTGTAAGCAGAAATCAAATTATAATTAATCTGAATGCTTAACCAATAATATAAACGATTTTAAGTAATGGTTAATTAGAAAAATGTAGATAAAAGTAAATTTCATATAATTTTTTTGGTTTCCGAAAAAGGAAAAAAAAAAAACGAAAAAACTGGTTGGAAGATAACGATACTATTTTACTAGAAACAATAAGCTCCTCCGGAATAATGAAAAATTGGAAAAATCGATAGCAGAAAAATAGATTACTAATAAACGATCTATAAATTCAGGAAGTTTTTTAATTAATTTCCCTTTATAATGTTTAGATGTGCGAATTTATTTGCAATAACACATAATGTCAATATTTCCATGAATTTCAATTCATTAGAACTTGAAATTTAAAATTTGGTTTCAAAAATTTAAAAGGAAAAATGAAAATTTACCTGATGGAAATTGCGGATAATTCACCTACAGGTATGCTAAGTTGAGGATTTCTCAGATCGTCGCTCATATTCACACCTGCATAAATTAACTTATTTAAAGTCAATTTCATCATTCTAAAATTTGTGCCCAAAAAATTTTCAACATTCATTTAGTGGTTGTTAAAAGTATATATGATACCACTAAAGTTATTCAACTCGCAATCTAAAATTTGAATTTAAAAAGCCAACTGAATGCTAAGCTAATCATTCTATTTTCTCATAACTTTTTATTTGAATAAATGGATGTCATAGCTATTAAATTTGAGTAATGCAATAATTAATTGATAGATGGATAATATTTTAATTTAAAATAAATACTTTTATTATTTCAATTACTGTGTTTTTATGTTTTTTGACAAAAATTAGTTTTTATCATATTATCATAATTTATCATTTTATAAATTTAAATCAATAAACCTGCCAAAACACCAAGAAAATTCGCGAAGAAAACACCAAAGACGGTAAAAAAGTTTTGGCGGATTTGTGGTACATCAAAGCCAATTTGAGAGCAATTAAATCCGTCATACATTGGATTCATGTTTGCATCAAATCGTATCATCGAAAAATGCCCTACGCCATTATCTGAAAGTGAATTCCAGTATCTGTTGCATGTTGCAAACGCAATTTGCATGCTGCATGCAAGTGCAGTTAATGATATTTTTGTAACTGAACAAAGCATAGGTTCAAGAAGAATGCATGGAAAATTTTTGCAAATAATTGTTCACTCGTGTATTTCATTTAATGGTATTAAATTTGCAATATATTTCAGTTGATTTGATATTTTAATTTAGCACAGATTACACGTAAATATCTGACGTAGCTGACGTAAATATTGACGCAACTAACCAATATCGACTTTAAATAATGCACCCATATAGAAGTCCATAACAGCAAGCATTAAAAATACCAATAATACCAATTGCAATCGAATAACCCAACGTACACCAACCATATTAATTCCTGAAAAATTAATTAATTATATTATTTGCTAAGTTATACAATATAATATATCAAAAATATTATTTTCTAGATGGTATAGAATTAATTAATTATTTTGCAGAATAATAAAAAAATTTTACAAATTAAAAAAAAATTTAATTGATTTTTGAATTTAAATATGCTAAAATTAATACTGGTAATTAATTAAACGTTAATTGTAAGTTTTGCGTTTGATGCTCTTTGTGAAATAACAAGGATGTGTTCATTGCATTTTTTTTTTTCATTAATAAATCGATTCAAAAAACCTGTCAAAGCAAATAATGCTGCTATAGCAATGAATTTATGAGTCAACGAATTTTCATTTCCAAAGAAACTTGCGACACTTTCACCAAAACCGATGACAACTAGCGCAATTGCGACAGACTTTAAAAAAATGTAAATAACAATGTGAAAAAACTAGAAAAATTTAAGCAATTTCAAAGTATACTGTGTGTTATTATTATATTAAAAGAAAATAGTTGGAATTATAGGATAGCAATTTTAATTGATTACAGTGTAAATTAGAATTGAAAAATTAAGAAAATGAAAAAAACTAAGAAAAAAAAACAGAATTTGTTAGAATATAATTTCCTTATTAGAATAGCATTAGTTAATATTTAATCGGTGTTAGTTAATATTTGATTAAATCAAACTAATTAAAAATTTCTACTTAACAAATACTACTAAATTAACCTATTTTAATTAGTTAAAAATGCATATGCATTTATTACCTGTCCAAAAGCATACATCAAACCAACAGCGCCACCAATTTGTCCACCAAGTATATGTGACACAAGAAAATATATGCCACCACTTTGAATTTGGCATCGTTGACAAATGCCAATAGCGGAAAAGACTGATATTAATGCAAGAGATGAACAAATAATCAGTAAGATAACTGCATTTACTATGCCAGCTATTCCCTAAAAAAAAAATAATAAACAAATGATAAATTTAAAAGAATTAAATAATAAAAATTACAAAAAAAAAAAAAAAACTCTTTTCTGACATTTTATGAAGTCAAATATTTGGGAAAGATATGAATTATAGAAATAGTCAATGATAAGCATAGTATTGGCTGATAATAACTGATAACAATATACTAAATTTTCGTTTGTGCTAAATTATATTAAAGACCGATAATTGGTTTCATTCCATCCAAACAGTTTCCGATGAATAATTTGCCAATAAAAAGGATTTTAAAAAATTCTAAACTAAACAATTTTTTAATTTCATTATTAATTTAATAAAGTTTTTCTTTCTTATTTTAAATAGTTTCACCGAATATAAATGATTTTTACGCAATCGAATAAATCTGATATACTAACCACAATCCATCCCATACGCAGAAATACGATAACACCAAAGATATTAACTAAAACAGTGGTAAAAACACCATCCCAAGTGCCAAATAATAATGGTCGAGTGATAAGGAAGTTCCTGTTAAATTAAATATCTCGAAACAAAACATTTAATCGTTTTAAATTCAAGTTAATAGAATTAATTAATGATTGGTTTAATTAATATGAGTCAAAAATGTTTCATATGATGAATAAAAAGGAAAAAGCATATAAATATTTGGTTAACAATTAAGCTAAAAATAATTGATAATATGATAAGTCAAAATGTGATAAGGAAAAACATCAAAAATAAAAAAAAATTTGTTTTAAATTAAATTTTAAAAAGGTGTACTTCTGCCACCATGGTTCATTGTTATTACTCTGAAGTTGTTCATTTGAAAATAGCGAATCCATTGGTTCTCGAATTATTTCACTTTCTTCCTTCCTCATTTCAGTTCCTTCCTCAATTTCTGGTCTTTGAAATTTCTTTCTTTTTATCCTCAAATTGTCACATTGAATTAAATGTACAATGAAAATCATATGGGAATTATGAAAAATAACGAGAAATTAAATTATTGTTATTAATATTGCTATTATTATTATTATTATTTATTTATTTATTTATTTGGTTGATAAGTTCAGTCAACTATGAGAAAAAAAATGTTTTGATATGATGAATACGAAGATAGCATGTAAACGATTAACAATGAAGCCAAAGATAAAATGTTGGTACCATACGTATAATAATAATATTACTGTTATTAATATTATTTTTATGTTCATTATTACTGCTACTAATTATTATTGCTATCATTGCTGTTACAATATATTAATTTAAATTCAATCATTTAAGAGAATAAATGACCATTTAGCAGCAGTGAATATATTTGCTAGAAACAATCGAAAAAATTTGTTCCATCGACTACTTAAGTTCAGGTTTAGAGTATTCAAAAATATATCGCTAATCCTTGAGCAAATTTTTCTTTTTGAAATATAATAACAAACATTTTTCAAATCATATGAGAAAGAAATAATTTCAAATATTTATGGAAAAAATGAAATGTTTCGAATATTACCGAACTATTTCAGTTGGCATAGTTTGCTCCACAGTTGTGCTAATAATAAAGAGAAAGAAAGAAAGAGAGAGAGAGAGAGAGAGAGAAAGAGAGGGAAAAAAAGAGAGATTTATGAGCTTTCGTCATAAAATTTAATGATATTATTCGATAACTTACATCATATCATTAATGCAATAATCAAAATGCATGCAACAGTTGAATGCTTTCTCTGATATTTCAATTAACAGTATAGCTTATTTCCGCTTAATGAAATAATAGATGAAATTTTTAGGACAAAGTAATCATTTAATTAAATTTCAATAATTCTTTTTTTTTTTTGATGACAGTGAGACTTTGTGACATCCAATAAGAATAGAATAAGAAGAAAAAAATAAGATATTTGCACATATGCCAACAGCTAGCAAAAAGTTTATCTTAGGCTTATGCTATAGCTAATGATATAAGAACGTTAGATGATGAATAGAAAACATTGAAAAAAATTTTTCGCCTTTTTTTTTCATTTTTCTAATAGGAAATCAATAATTGCATTAAAAGTAAGCATAAACATGCAGAAAAGCTAACATAACAATAAAAATATTTTTTTTTAATTTTCTGATTAACTAACATTTTAACAAAATCAGTCAAAAAGCAGCTTTAATTCTGAAATAATTAAGCAAATTTTAGATGAATGATAAATTTAGATTAGCAAATTAAACAAATATTTTCAAAATAACCAACACTTCAATTATTAATTTTTGTAAAATTTAAACGAACCTAAAAATAGTGAAAGAAACATTTCAGTGCAAAATAATCGTTGTGACATTTAAATTAAGAATTTAATTTTTTGATGCTAAAACTTGCAAAAAATTCTCCCTTTTATTGTTATCACTTTAAACTTCGTTTTTTTTTTCTTCTAGCTTTTATGGAAAATTTAACAATGAAAAAATTTATTAAAGAATTATCAATGAATAAGTTTTAATTTATCATCGTAAATCAAACTACACTATACAAATCATTTGAAAATGCACAAAATACAAACTTTGTTTGCCCAACTAACTATCCATTGATAACATATCCATATTAAATGGCCTAGTAATGCAATCATACTTACACTAGGCTTTCTATTTCATTAGGCTTATATATGATGCATGAAAATATATAACACACAATATAGAAGGAAGAAAAAAGAAAAAACAGAGTAAAAAAAACTTTCCAAGCAAATTTTATTTATTTGCTTCATTTAGGCTCAATCAATATGCTGTAGCTTCTCAGAAGCCAAGCATATGAGAAAATGGCCAAGATAAATGTAACAATTCTCGAATAATTTACCTCTTTGCTATGTTCTACTCCCTCATTTCTCTTTCTCTTTCCCTCTGTCCCTCCCTCTTTCCTTCTATTCTACTTTTTTCTCTTTCTCTCTCCCATTTTTCATCTCTTTACTTGCATCATTTATGCAAATTATGCAAGTAAGTTTGTAAAAAATTGGATGACATCGAAATAGTATGTATACTTTTCTACTCATTTTTTAAGTTTAACTAAATAATTAAAATTAAATTGTAATTAGTGTAAATGTTATTATTTTTCATTTCTTTTCCTTTGTAAAATAAAGAACTATGTTTAAATAAATTTGTACTAAAGTAAGAATAAAATCATTTAGAAATCATTCAATGGAATTTTCATTATCAAAATGATGTTGGCTTATGGCTGTTAACATAATTACATAGCAACAAAACAAAACAGAACAAAAAAAAAAAAATTTATTTCTTTCACTCTTTTTGATTAAACATTTTATTTCTATCTTTTTCTAATTTGAAATTAGAGACTAAATTGATTTCTTTACTTTTGTTTTATCCACCACTTTTAATTAATTGAAAAAAAAAATCGGAACAAAAAACAAAATTGAAAAAAAAAAACAAAACTGAAAAAAACAAAAGTAAAAAAAAACAAAAATCAAAATCGAAAAAAATTAAATAAATTGTTATAGTAAAAAAAAAAACACATAAGAAATGTGGGAAAGATGAGCAAAGGAAAAAAAAATAATTTTATGTGATATACATCTTAAAGTTACGCAAAAGCAATTCGAGATTAATTGCATATGATTTTAAACGTGATCATATAAAATAGTAAATGATAGCTCACGTGAAATGATAAAATTTACCCACGTATTAATAGCAATGATAAATCATTCAGAATTAATGATAATAAGCCATTTTGGACAGCAAAATGATAAAGCTAAAAATAATTATGCAAAAATATATATCACATAAGACAGTAAAAAATTGATCATATAATGATCGCAGAAATTAATCAAATTATCAGAAATTATTTGCCAATTTATCAATTTTTCATAAATAACAATTCTTAGTACTTTTATTTGACTATAAAATGTCGTTGTTTTTCATCTTTTTTTTTTAAAGTCAGATAATGTATTTCTGTGAATTTATTATCAAATTAATTTTAATATTACAATGTAAAATAAATTATGTGCATCAAATTGAAATAAAATTTCAGTTTTTACATCACATATAATTTCACATATAATTATAAAGTATTCTCATATTTGTTTCTTTAAATCATTTTTTTCTTCTCAAATGAAATAATTTCTCTGACATTAATTAATTATTATTGAAATTTTATAACAAATGAAATTAATCATCTCAAACTCATCACCTTCTTTAATTTTCTTCTTTTTTTTTCATTATTCAATTTTAATTTAAATTCCTCCGAGTTTTTTTTATCTTAAAAACAATCTTAAAGAATTTGATGCTTGTATTGCTAAAATTTAATTAAATGCCTTAATATGTAATTAAAACAAAAGTGATAAGAAAAATTTGTAATGATGATTTGCTACAATTTCTTTATTTAATTCGTATATTTGTGCTTGTCTATATGACTTATTTAAAAAATATATAAATGTACACACATACACACACATACACACATATACACACAACATACACACACATACACACTACCTATACACACATATACACACAACATACACACACATACACACTACCTATACACACATATACACACAACATACACACACATACACACTACCTATACACACACATACACACAACATACACACACATACACACTACCTATACACACATATACACACAACATACACACACATACACACAACATACACACACATACACACTACCTATACACACATATACACACAACATACACACACATACACACAACATACACACACATACACACTACCTATACACACATATACACACAACATACACACACATACACACTACCTATACACACATATACACACAACATACACACACATACACACTACCTATACACACATATACACACAACATACACACACATACACACTACCTATACACACATATACACACAACATACACACACATACACACTACCTATACACACATATACACACAACATACACACACATACACACAACATACACACACATACACACAACATACACACACATACACACTACCTATACACACAACATACACACAACATACACATACACAGGCAAAAGGTAGACGTATCGGAGATAAAATTAGTTTTAAATTTCTGTTTGGTTATTTACGTCATTTCTGTGTTGTTTCATCTCCTTTTTTTTTCGTTTCCTTACTTTCAGTTTAAATTTCACTTTTTATTTATTTCAATTCATTCACTGTCTGTGTAAAACCACCTGTTTCATAAGAAATTGAAGCAAGTTAGTGTGCTGTGCTGTGCTCCAAAGTGACATATAGTGATAAAAGATAACTTATTGATTGGTATATTGATAAATTCACTCTTTTTTTTCATTTATTATTATTATTATCTATTTGAGATGAGATTTCATCAATGTTTAATGAAATTGAATTTTGTTTTAAATTATAATTTATATATAATAAAAATTTTTTGTGTTTTTTTATTCTTTGCTGTTTAATATTTAGTATTATTTATTCATTTATTTTTTGATGATTTCACATTATGAAATTTTTAGTAATGCTAATTTAGAATTGATAATTTTTGAATAAATTTTTACCCTACAAGAAATGCTTTTTTTTAATTTAGCCAAAAAAAAAATTTCAAATTATTTAATTTTTGTTTTAAAAAATTATTCAAAAAATATTTTCAAAAATTATTTAATTTTAATACTAACAGGTAGATGTACTTATGACTATTTTTGAGAAATTTTGCAAAATTGACTTTACAATATTTATGAATGAAATTAAAATAAAAGGTTTCCGGAAAACTTTCAAATTTTCCTGTTTTTTTTGTTGATCTTTAGATGTATAGCGATAGAATTGGCCATAATTATTGCTGATCGTAGTGGAACATTCTATCTGCTATCATTTTGAAATTTAATGCTTTCGAAGAAAACAGAAAATTTAAACTAAA